GGCTTTGGTGCCAAAAAGACACGGTCACCAATTGGTAGGTGGAAGTCAACATGATGATGTCTGGTGGTGTGGGCTGAATCCGATGGAACAGGCGAATGCAATGTCTACTTGAACTTGGAGGGTCAGGGAGACTTACTAAGTAGGTTGATAATTGAGATAACTAGGGTTCCTACATGGCTCATTAGGGTCGTTCACCCACTTACTAAGTCCCCTGACCCTAAGCCGTAACGCAGTAGTTTCCATTGCGTTTTCCACATTGCTACCAGAGGGACCCCAGGGGATATATAGGTCTTATATTGGGATTATGGGGGTCCTTAATAAGGATCCATAGGGATTAATTTGAGAAACTCCTATGTTCCACTGCTGTACTGATCAGTCTCTGGTTCACAAGATAGGCTGCGGCTGCAATGCGCTATCTGCGTATCCCCCACGCATGCCCAAAAGTCACATGCTCCAAGCCTGCAATGCAACAACAGCTATTCTGCCAAGGGCAGGGCCTTTTTTCAGTTGCTTCCTTGATTTGCGGATCTTGCTTGGCAGAGAGCTGATGGCGGACCTCGGCTATTGAGCTGCCCAAGCAGCTCGCATCCCTTGGTTGCACCAACCTATCGACATTTGCGAGTGGCAGTCACACGCTAAGCTCTAGCCGATTAAGTATTGTACTGCACGCCACGACGTCCAGAGGATAACGCTCCCCGTTCTTTGCAAAGAAGTCCACAATCGCCTGAAAGGCCGTGTCCTGCGACGGCCGCCTAATTGTGGTCGAGGGGAAGAAGCCAAGCAGAGTATCGAGGTTTGATTTCCCGTGTTCGGTTAATTCCAAACCGCTTTGCATCCCTGGCCCTGAACCCCTGGAACGCCATCCCAAGCACCCTTCTGGTAAAGTTCAAGCTATGGAATGCTTCCTTGACGTCATAGTTCCCGCCACTTTTTCATATCAACTCGAGGGTCCAATAACCCTCTTGCCACATACAGTACAATGAATGGAAGATCATGGAAGGATGACGGTTCGATTACACTTTCAAAAAGCAGCCTCGCATCTTGAAAGCATGAGGATCTAGTTCGTTCACATCACTCCTTGCCGCTGTCTGCATCTGGCCGCAAGTCCTCGCCGGGCAGACGATATTCTCTTGTGAGAAACTCTCGACTTGCCGCGCAAATTTGCACAGGCTGCGTGCGCACAAGCAGCGCTGTCCTCCTGCTGGGAGAGTGGCTGCAATCCTTGGAGGAAGAACTGGCCCTCTTCGTCCCAGTCCTCTGGCGTTGAACACGCGAGGTAATAATCTGACAGACGGACTTAGCACCTTGGGAAGCCTTTTGAGCAATCGGATGCTGCTGTAAACTTCACATCGCTAAGGACCGATTCCACACTGCAAAAGGTGCCTGCGAAAACGTCGCCGCTTGCCGCCACTTCATCCTATAGCTCGCCAGTGCAAACCATACACTGCTGACAACCCTGGTCAAGCTCTTGGCTTCTTTGGTCTTTGCACTGCGGCGCTATCAGGCAGCACCTTTAGCAGTAATGTCTGAAGCATCCACAACAAAGCCTGCCGGTCAGCCAACCTCCATGAGCTGTCTCAGAAGGTGGCTGAGTTCCGGCAAATCCTTAGCGAACTTGGCAGAAACAAAATGTAGCCTGCTTCTCTTCTGGCAAAACTGCGCATGGCACGGGAAATTGTTATTATCCGTGAAAGATAGCTAAACAACGGGTGACCTCAGCTTGAGCCGGAATCAGGCGCTTGGCTGAGCAAAAGGAAATGCTTGACGATGTTAATTTATCTGGTAGTTTCCCAAAATAAAGGGACCCAATATAGACCCCAAGATACTATACCTTATTATGGGGACCCCCCAAAAAAGTACCCCCAATTTTGGGATACCCCCATCTGTCACACAAATTGCAGATCACTGAGTGTCACTGGGGTTCGGGCCCACAATCTCTTCCCACGGAATGCCAGGGCAGAACTCCCAAGCCCACTGGGGCAGCAGCCATCCACAGCTGGGCGCAAGCATGGCCGTATGCGAGAAAGCAATTGCCCCACATGCCCAGTAGAAGCTCCCGGAAAGACCGGAGACCATCTCCACCTGCAACAGGAATCAAATCACAGTTGTCTTCAGGGGAGCGCAAAAGGGACTATGGTCGGCTGCGGCGCACCTGCACCATGCCTTCACACTAAACCTACAACAGATTGAAAGTTGAAGCCAACAATCTGAAACATAGCAGGCGCAGGATGCAAGCACAGCAGTGGCAACTCGCAACAAACACAACAAAGCATCAGAAGCAAGGGAAGCTTGCATTGGGATCTTTTTGTCCTCACAATGCATGAGTGCGGTTGCTTGGCCGCCCGCACAGATGGCGAATTCAATCAGCATAAGTTTGCATGGACCAATATGTACCTGCGGCCAGCGCCAGCCTTGACCGTTCCTCGACCTGACCAAACCACAAGGGGAGACCGGCAACATACCAAAAAAAATGTCCTTTTGGCTTCGACTTCTCCAGACCACGCCTCCGTTTCCAAATACGGCAGCTCTGTGAACAAGCGCTCCTCTGCAGCAGTTTCGCAACGCATGGTCTTGGCTCGGGCCGCGCTTTGCGGCAGGCCTCGGTCACCTTGCCCAAAGGCTTCACAAGTCGGAGTTTGAGCTCACCATCGAAAACGGGAATGACGACAGCATTCTCAGCACTCCTGCCGAGCATTCAGATTGCCTTCCGATTGCCTTCCAACGACACGATTGGCACCAGACGGTCATCTAATGCAGCCCTGCAGCAAATGATGACTGAAGAGTGCGTGACTCACACGCGCCAGACACCTAAGTTGTTTTGTCATTGACATAGGGTGCAGAAATTACGCTGACCAGAAACGCAAAAGCATCGCCATGTTCCAGACAAAGATAAGGCTAGAGGCTCTCCATAGGTGATGGCTGCAATTGTCCTTCCACCGGTGCCAGCAGCTTCCATCTCCAACGCCTGCAGCTGGCAAGCACGCTTACTTCCACCACATCGCCAGAATGATTTGAATCGACTGCACACAGAACCCTGACCCTAAAGCCAAGCCACCGCGAACTCCGTTGCATTGATGAGACCTTCAGGCAACTCACTCACGAACAACACACACACACCAGCTGCCGCTCTACATTGCACTGTGCGTTTCTACCAAACTGGCATGCCGGATGTGGCCTGAACCGTCAGCATCGCAAAGAATGCAAGCAGCTTTGAGCGCCTGAAGCAGCGATGGATGCAGAAATCTCTCGGCTAGATTCTTTGCAAACAGCCATCTGCGTGTTCTAGGTGTTTGCAAGTTTGGGATTCCTGGCACCTCCCTAGGCCCATCTTACTCACAGACTACCTCGTCCTTCTAAGACAACTACAGAATGCTTGTACAAACGGTACTGACCAACATGACGAGGTAATCAAAAGCAACTTTGACGCTCACCCTAACCCGGTGGAATTCTTTCATTCTGCACGCGGCCAGAAGCCAACAACAGGCTAACCAGTTCTGAGCTTGATTTGGGAGTTTCTCAAAATACTCCCTATATAATCCCTATTAAAGACCCCCATAATCCCAATATAATCCCTATATATCCCCTGGGGTCCCTACCCCCTTTTTGAGAAACTCCCATTTACCTAAAAGTGGAAAGGCGTGGCTACACGCTGTCCAGAAAGCGCCTAGGCAGCAGAGTCGCCTCTGGTACAAAGCCAACATGGGGTTGTATATACAAATGCCAGACGCAGGACTATATTGTATAAGTAGCACCGTGGAAAAAACCCAAAAATCCAAAATACCAAAATTCCAAACATCCAAAAACCCAAAAAATCAGAAAAACAAATATCCAAAAATCTAAAATTCCAAAAAAAATCCAAAACTTCAAACACCGAGCATCCAAAAATCCCAAATTCCAACAATTCCAGAAACAAACCCGGGGTATCCAAAAATGCAAAATTCCAAAATTCCAAAAATCCAAACTTGGTCCGGGCATCTCTCTGAAAATTTTAGAGTTTGGGATTTTTGGACTTTGGGGTCTTTGGATCTTGTGGATTATCCTACAAATATATACTAGATCAATGAAAATAAAGGACTATGAATGATGCGAAAGTAACAACCCGGAAAGGCTGCCAACAGTGTAAGAATAGCGAAACAAAAAATAATACAATGGTAATGGAACTGGTAATCCAAGAAAGCCGAGAACTGTACAGAAATGATAGGCAAATAGCTTAAGGTCAACTGCTTCGGCTCTAAGATATAAGGCTTAGGGTCTAGGATGTGCGGTTTATGGTTTCGTATATAATACAAAAAACGGCAGCCCGAGAAACGCCGAAACTAATTTGGATTTTGTACGATTTGTGTATTATGTTTTGCTTTTTGGGATGTGCGGTTTCTTTGGTTTTCTGCAGTCCTGTATGCTTGTGTATATGCTTGTGTATTAGATTTGATGGGATGTACGTAATGAGGGACTTATATGGACTGGAACCAGCTCCAAAATCAGGAATCCAGGATTCTAGGATTTCTGAAAAAAATTGTAATTACATCGAATAAGCTGTTTACATGGAACGAAACCAGATCCGAAAAAACAGGAGTATAGCATTGTAATATCTTACATTCAACTGAAAAAGGGAGTAATATGGACAAAAAAACCATCTGAACCAAAAGCCCAGGAGTGCAGGACTTCCATAGTCTTTTCCAAACCGTAATTCAAAATGAAAACGCCTAAATGAAATTCACGATGTAGTCAAAGCTAAGAGTCGAATCCAAGAGTATTGTGGTTGTTCATTTCTTGATTTTTGGTTACAGGTTCCCAAGATTTCGGCTTTTCTAGGATTTGAATATGGTTTGTATGTTTTTCCAGTTTTGGTTTTGCGTCACAGGATCCCATGGTCCTTTTGAAATTCAACGCGAAAGCTACATTGCCAATAGGAAATCTAGAACTCCGGAATTGCATGTGGAATTCCAGTTGAGGTTTATGGGAGGCAATAAGGGCAGGCATCGAAATACCATTAGCAATCCAAATTCCTCTCCAAAACTGAACTGCAAACCCCGGAACCCACGATTTTCGAATTATTTCCTGTCATATCTCAAAAGGAAATCATATACTTTCAATTCTTATGCAAAAATCAACAGTCAAAATCCAGGAGCCCAGGATATTTGTGATTATTTTAACTGGGTTTTTCGAAAGCGCAGCAATCCAGGATTTCTGCATCGTTGCTCATTCAGTTCTTCAGAGAATTCATATACCAGACTCCTGCAGAAACACCCACATCCAAGAAGTAAGGTCATTGTATTGTCCTTAAAGTTGAAAAGGAATCAATGTAAATCATATTCCTGTCCAAACCTGGAAACTCAGGAATAATGCAGTATTATCGTAACTTGAGTTTTAAAAGCAATTGAAAGTCCTATCCAAAACTGGAAATGCAGGAATCCAGAATTTCTGCATTATTTCTACTCCAAATCGGAAAAGGGAAGTCATATAAATCAAAATCTTACCAAAAACTTGAAAACAAGAACCCGGGATTTCTGCATGATTTCTAGTCATAGTCTGAAAAGAGTACACATAAGGCAGAATCCCATGGAGGGCCCAAATCCTGGAATGAAAGGTTGTTATTTTTCTGCCAATTCACCATTTGCACGTGTCATGAGGGTGTGGGGGGGGTGGCGGGGGGAATATATCATAGATAGGGATATATGATATTTGAATGGAGGGAGTATGTATCTATATACATTATTGTACGTGTTGCGCGTATATAATTTCCAGAGCATCCAAGTCTTGAAATCGGATTGTCTTTGCAACTTTAGAGGTTGAAAAACCTCAACAAAGCACTTAAAACCCTGAACCAAGCACTGACACGTGTTTCGGCCTTGCTGACCATTCGCCCATGTAGTTCCTGCCAAAGTCAGCACGCGAAACCAGCATCTGCTGCGCAGCACATAACCGATTACCATCCTGTAAGTACACTCAAGATGCAGCTGTGCCAACGCAGCGGAAGACTGCTTACAAGACATGGAGAAAAGTCCTTCAACAGATGCCTAAGTGTACCCAGCGTGATCTTGCCGCCATTCACGCTGTTCAAAAGCCGGATAGCTGAGATGGACTCTGTCTTCCTGAGGCTGGCTTCTGCAATCCATGCACTGTCAGACAGCCTTGTTCTTGCCATCCAGCAACGGACGATGGCTGAGGATGTGGTGGGTCAGTAGATTGAGCAACCTGGGCTTGATCCTACTCTGCATGATGCCTCACTGAAAGCCCCTCATGGGCGGAGCACGC